CTCGCTTATTCAGACCGATGAGCTTTGTAAAAATCGACGCGTTTCAAAAAGGCGTGGCATAGAGGAGAAACAGTAATGTACAGTATGTGGAAAATAATGTGTTTTTTTTACTTTAAACTGCATAAACACATTTCATTACACCAAATACACACAATGTTCTTTTTAGCAGCATCATATGACCCCTTTAAAAAACAAGTTGATGAGAGCTTGTAACACTCCAAAGAGAAAGGAAAAATTGAAATCGCATCATATGACCCCTTTAATGAATTTAGTCATAGGGATAGTTAACCCAAAAATGAAAATGAATTACTCACCCTCATGCCGTTCTGAACCCGTAAGACCTTTGTTCATCTTCGTAACACAAATTAAGATATTTTTGATGAAATCCGAGAGCTTTTTGACCCTCCATAGATAGCAACAGATCCACACACATTCAAGGCCTATTTTAATGATGTCCTCACTACCTTTCTGGGCTTTGAATGTGGTAGTTGCGTTGCGGTCTATGCAGGGTCAGAAAGCTCTCGGATTTCATCAATCTCTCAGATTTAATCAAAAATATGTTTTTGAATCCATCAAAAATTTGTGTTCCGAAGATGAACGAATGTCTTACGGGTTTAGAACAGGTGTGTAGTTAATGACAGAATTTTCATTTTTGGGTGAACTATGCCAGTCCGATTTGTGAATAATTTATCTGACTCTTTGACAAATCACTCAGCTGATTTGCAAGCAAATGGTTCAGCCAAATCATGAGCAAACGGTTCAGAAGATTCATAAACAACTCATTCAGCTGATCTGTGATCAAATCACACAGTTTAATCACGATTCGTCATTCTGTTACTGATTCATTTCTCAAGTTGAAGTCACTAATCAAATGGTCCAATCACTGTAGAGGAAGATTACCAATGCAAAATGGTTTAAACATCTGTCTTTTCCTCAAACAAACCTATAACACGGTATATGATCGACTATAATTGTGCTTTTTTGTCATTTTTGTAGTCGATAGATATGGTTACTGACAAACTGCTGCGTGAAGACTCTTCAAAAGACTCTTCTCCTTTTGTGTTCTGCAGAAAAAATAACAGCATACGGGTTCGGATTTTTCACATTTTTTTGGGTGATGAAGTAAACCCATGAAGCAGTGTGGTAAGAGGCAAGAGGGTGAGGAGTGGACAGGCTTATGTTATGCCAGTTACATCAACCTCTCAACGGTCACAGGCCAGCACAATGTCAGCTGTCCTAAAGCGGGTGTCATGTGACGGCGAGTATTACCTGTGTGGGCGGACAGAGGCGAAAGAGGGCGGGTGGGCGACGGCGTTCCAACACCAAGGCTCTTTCTATTACTGCTGCGACAGCTGCAACACACAAACAAGAGGAGAGGGTTTATTAAAAACCTTTCAACATAATCCAGCCCAGCCTTTATGGTCGACGGCAAAGTTAACAAAGAAAGTGACAAAGGATTTAATGATCAGCAGCACGCTCTCGATAGTGTTACTATAATGTGGCTTTTTTGATTCAAGAATAATCCTATGAGTAATTCTGCAACATCTGCAGGCTCTGGCCATCAGAGGTGGTGTCCTTCAACACAGCTGTCATTTGCATTGAGAGACTCAAGTTGTGCATGTCATTTATCACTTGCTCACCAAACACCTCTTTCAGTCATGCATTGCACTTTCATCTCTTGCTGGTCTGCAGCTACAGATGTCTATCAGTGCATACAGATATTTCACTATGCCACCATCAACAGTTCGAAATACAGCTTTAGATAAAGCCATGCAACCATTGCACTATTATACTGCGTCCTTTTTCATTAGAATACAGTCTAGGTAAACAGCACACTATGTTTTGAGACGCAACCATAGCATTACCGTAAACTCCACAGTGCGATTACATAAATCGACCAAGAAATGCCCACGTGTCGTGTCAAAAGTTGACACATTAGAAAGTTTTGATCGTGCACGTCTCGTCTGATAGATATCGCATGTTACCTTTTGGATCGCTTGAGCATCGCGCCCGTAACAAAATGAGCTTTGCTGCTGCCAGGCAACGCGCTCCCGGAACTTGGATCAGACATAATCGCAGACGATTACAGTGCCAACTGTCCAAGCAACACCGAGCTACAGAACCAGAACTAGAGTCGAACCCCCCTGCGATTCATGAGTCCGCCTCTTGACTGGAGAAACTCGCAGCGGTTCATCTCTGTTCTTTGTGTGACACTGCTGCTGTTTGCCAGGACTCGCCGTGCAACTTGGTAAAAGTTTAGACGTTCACATTCTGGTTCAATCATCCTCCGATATCGCCTCGATCTGGCACAAAGTTTAACTGTTTACGTTCCAAAAAAGCGACTTGCATCAGATAACAGGAGCGAGCGAGTCTATGTTTGTAGGTAAGATGCTGTGTTGTGGTTGTTTCTCTCGTGTTGATTGATTGCCGGGTGATAAGCTTGGGATGTACCATCTTGCTGTGAAGAGGGGGAGCGGAGTCTTATGCTGCGCCTCAATGTGCCTACTTATACTATGCCCTTAAAGTATGTACTCTTTTGGTGAAGAAAAAGTACACACTTTTGAGTGTGTAGTAGAAGAGTAGGCAAGCTTTGGGACATACTATTACGTCACACAATTGCGTCTTTAAAAGACCGCTCTGTCGCACCTGTTACACGCAGCCTGTCACTGTAAACTGGTCTGTCAATCATCTTGTCACAGTTAACATCCTCCACATTTAATTTAATGTAACTTCCTACCATACTGGAGAGAAAAGTAGCTCGTTGATCTGCCAGTCGCGGGTCTTTCATGCAGAGAACTCTGCTCATATTTTCTGCATAATGACGCATTTAAAAGTTAACGACCAAATGGATGTTTATAAAAGTTCACATTGCTGTTGCAGATGAAATATAACACGGATAACAATAAATAAATATTTTGTACCAGGTTAAATGTTGATTATTAGTAACTCAACCCCCTTTTTTAAACCTCTCTTCCTAACCCTCGATCGCGCGCATCCGCCACGTTTGTAGTTTTTCTAACGCGTTTTATTCGTGTTTGTAGTTCTGGACCGAATCATTCGCCAAAGCGCAATGGATTGTGGGCAATTTTAGCCATTAGAGCAGGGGTGCCCAAACTCGGTCCTGGAGGTCCGGTGTCCTGCAGAGTTTAGCTCCAACCACAATTAGACACACCTGAACCAGCTAATCAAGCTCTTACTACTAGAAGCTTCCAGGCAGGTGTGTTGAGGCAAGTTGGAGCTAAACTCTGCAGGACACCGGCCCTCCAGGACCGAGTTTGGGCACCCCTGGATTAGAGTGTGCACGGAGCCACACTTCAAAAATCGACCTGAAATAGTAGAACATCCGTCAGAGAAAGGAGACATGCAAAATGTGCAGTGTTGGGGTGCCTCCAGGACCAGGGTTGGGAACCACTGGCCTAGACCATCCGGGGACTTTTGGTATAGGGGAGCGCGGGGTACAAAGTAACGCGGGGTAAGTTGTAACACACGTGGTTTAAATATTTCCACACATGCTAGCATAACCAAATTTACAGCATTTACTAGTTACCATATCAATATTATATAGAGAAAAAAAGTGGGCCAAAATTCAAAAGTCTTTTGAAGATATCGCTGAAAATTTATTTTACCATAGTAAAATTATATTTCTGGTTTAAGTAAATTTTTAATCTCAGTTTTTATTACTCATTTTAAATTAGACAAATCTGCTATTATTTTAATCTCCAATCTGTTATTTATCAGTTTAGAT